AACTGCCTTCAGAGCAAGCACTGTTGAGTATTTAAGTAGCTAGTCACAAGTATCCCTGGGGCAGCTTCACCAGCAAGGAAAAAAATAACTACTGGGCACATGTGTGTAACTGCACAACCGGAATTTAATTGTGCTGCAGAAGCCCTGTGATGATGAATATGCCATCTTGGTTTCAGTCTATTGCAAAGAGCAAGTTGATATTCTGGGATCTTGGATCTTGTGTGTGTGTGTGTGTGTGTGTGTGTGTGTGTGTGTGTGTGTGTGTTTGTTTGTTACAGAGTTCTTATAGCAGGAATAGCAGAGGGTAAATGTTGTCAGTCACATGACTGTGACTTCAGAGCTCAGTCTGCTGTTGGGCAGGCTACTCTTGCTTTGTGACTCTGCTCTCAGCCTCAGTCTCCCCTTCTGTAAAATGGAGAGGATAACCAGGTCTCCCTAACAAGTAGGCATTGGATGTTAACTCTGTGCTGGACTCTGAGCCAGGCTGTGCAGTAAAATGCTGGGCAAAGCAGGGTCTCACAGTTTTCTTCTCAAGCATGTAATGAGCTGCATGGAAGGTACCTGTGCTTTCCCGTTTACTATCAACCAGATCCTCAAAGGTCCCTGTGGAATACCACTGCACAGAGAGAGTTTCAAGAAGAAAAAGACCACTTGCCTTGAAAACAAATACAAAAGTTGGTATATGGTGCTTTTAAATCTCAGGGACCTTTTTCAGAGTCTGAGGAAGTCCTACACAGGCCAGGTAACAGGCTTCCCTTTGCACACCACGTGGTTAGCAGTTCTCCGGTAGCCATACTGTTGGGCTAACTTAAAAAGACAGACATTTGTGGTTTCTGACTGGCATCTGGTTTTCCATTTTGATTTAATAAATCTAGGCTCACTCAGCTTGACAAAATTCTGTAAATGACACTAGGCTATGACGTCAGGCACCTGGGACAGAGATGGTTGCTAAAGGAAGATTGGGAACTTGTGTGCTCCTAGGCTCTAGTAAGCCCTCCTCTGGGCCTTGCAAGTTTAGAAATGGGCCAGCATTAACTAACACCTGGCCAGCCTGCTTACCTGGAGGCAGCAACTGCCCAGGGCTGTTGGATGATTCTCCCGGGAGCCAGCCAGGTTCCAGCCTGGTGGCAGTGGCCTCTGTGTGGCAAGAGGAAAGGCTCCTGGTTTCCCAGGGAGACTCCCATGGGCTGCAGAGACTCTGAGTCTGTGCTTCCTGGTCCCAGTGTACTCTGAAACCTGGCCCCTGCTCAACTGTCCTCCATGCCTCTTCTCCAGCACCAGTGACATGCTGACTCCTTCTGTCTGAACCAAGGAAATGAAACCTGTTTGTCCCTGTTTAATCAGAAGAGAAAAGAGACAGACAGGAAGGGAGCGGGACAGAGGGAAGGGAGAGGGAGACACAGAAATAGAGATGGGAAGAGAGCTAACTGCAGAAGACAGGAAATGCAAAGTGATCTGGAGGGATGGTAGCTTATACGGGAGGCCTCGCTGTCCTGAAGGGCCAGCCTTGGGCAGCCTCTGCCACACTGGCCTGCACTTATCTCTGCATCTGTTTCCCCTTGTGCAAGAGTCAGAACTGCTTGCCCCAAAGAAACAATGAGAGCATTCATGTTTAGAAGAACTGTGCAGGTGAGAGCTAGCTTACTGATACTGTGGCGTCTTCTCCATTGGGTTGGCTCTCACCAGATATTGCTTGCCTTTCCCATGCAAAGTGGACCATCACAACGTGCTTCTGTTACGTGCTTATTTCTTGACACCCCTGCCCACACAGGCCAAAGTTTAGGAAAATGTGCCATTAGTTTGCTTGATTAACTCCCTTTGGTGAATGAAAGGTTTTTTTCATTTTTTTGTTTTGTTTTATTTTTGTTTTTAGCTGAGACTATAGCACAACTGAGCTTAAGGTCTTTATTTTTAAGTTTTTAAGATGGATTCATTTTTGTGTGGGGGTGCATAGGAGGTCAGAGGACAGCCTGTAGGAGAGAGCTCTCTTCTTCCACCATGTGGCTCGGGTGGACAGGCTGGCAGCAGCATCCTTGTCTGTTGAGGTATCTCTGGCCCTTTAAATCCCTCTCAGATACTTGGCATTGCTTCCACATGAGAGAAGAGGTTCTAAGTTGTGTTTTGTAAGCAGTCCCTGGGTGACCAGCATAGTCCTCAGGGATGGGTTAGAGTCCTCCAGGACACTTGGAGATGTCCTTTGTAAACTGCCTTGAAAGGGGCCAAGTGTATTTTCCTCTCACTTGGCTATTGGTAGTTCACTTAATTGATCTTTCCCCAAACAGGTGCAGATTTTTAGTTTTGAGACGTCTGAGGGGCTTGTGAAGTCACTCCAGTGATGACAGACAAGTCAAGCTGCAGAGTTCATAGGGTATAGTATAGGCAGACTCCAGCCCTTAGCTGAAAAATGATTAAGTATCTGAAAACACTACTGATGGCTGAACTTTACACCAAGCAAGGGACCCTGCTGGCCACTGTACTAATCACAAGTCCACAGAGGATGGGGTTGAAAATGTGCATGAACATGGAAGTGTGTCACATGGGTCCATGTGCCCTGGCTGGCAGTGGGTCTGCCACTGGCCGGCCCAGCCGAGCAGCCATGTGCAGAGGCGACCTTTGGGGGCCTGGCAAGCACCGCTCTTGCGACAGTGCCCATGGGGACTTGTTCCAAGTGCTAACCATGACCTCAATTCCCTGCCCCCCACCTCCATGAGAGCTGCTTGCTCTATACTGTTCAGAGGAGGGCAGGCATTTGTTGTCCTTTGAGTTGGAAGTAGCTTGGGTGTATTATACTGGGCTATCATCTAGTGAATCAAACCTTTAATGCATACCCATTAAAGTATAATGATGGTATACTATGTAGCGGTTAAATAAAAATATGTCTGCAGTAAGTTTAGTGTTCTATCTTATGAAAAGCATAGAAAAACACATACAGAAAAGGCTGAAAGTTAAAAATATGAGTCCTTAGTGGTGGAACTTAAATGAGTTTCTTAACAAAAAGCAACAACAACAAAAAACTCAATGAAAATTCATTCATGTTACAAAAAGTTCAGAGTTCACATTACAAAAATTTTGTGTTGAAGTCATTGAGTTCTGCTTTATCTACCAACACTGGGGCATTGCAGAGCTTTTGGTGAGCTTTGTAAATCAGTGCATTTGTGTCCAGAAAGCCACAGGAATAAGGTCTCAGCTCTGATGAGTGCAGCCCAGCCCACCAGACAGGCCTCTTCTCCGATTCCTTTATCGTTGTTTTGACAGCTTCGGAAGATCTCATCCTTTTACCCTGAAGGGTGTGGGACTCTTGGTACTGGTTGGTGATCGCCTCTGGGGCTGGTTTTTCATCTCAGTGACTGCTGAACCTTCACTGGGGGCCTGAGTACATGTGTAGTATGGGGCCTTTGTCTCCCTGTGGTCCTGGCTGTTCTCTGAAGCCCTGTATCAGCCTTGAAAAATCTCACAATGGAGACCAGTGAAGTGCCTTTCAGAAACAGATGAAACCCTTCTCCATCCAGAAAATGGAGCTGCTACTTATATACTTATATCTTCCTTATGATTAGTGATATTCATATATATATATATATATTCAACCATGTATACTGTAAAAGTTGAAGATAAAAAGATACATCAAGCTTTAAATACATAGATAACATTACATAGATTACATATATAGTAATATATGACATGTATATACATATATAATATATGCTACATATAAATATATGCATAGGTTGCATGTCATCTATACCATGTCTTACATACATATGATTTTGTGTTATGTAGAATTATTTACATATGTGCCACTGCCCACATAATTTCCCAAATGATTGGAATCCCCCATCTGCTTTCACATCTCTGTCAAAAGTGGGCCTCAGCTCATACCCACATAGCTGAAGCAAAGACATGGTGGTACGCAGGTAAAAACAAAGGACTTGACATGAACTCAGCAGACAGCCTGAATCTGCCCGCAGTGGGAGCTGTCTAGCAGAGCATGGTGAGCAGATCGAATGAAGTCACCACAAAGCTCTGCTGGGCAAAGATTTCTTATTGAGCTTCTAGGTGCTATGTACTAATTAGCATAGCATCTCAGGGTGCCTGAGTGCTCTGAGGTGTGGTCTTTGAGCCAAGTGCCACTGCCTTCATTTCTCTCCCTCTGTCTCTGGGCCCTCCATGGGATTTGTGGTAGTTTGCAGAATGGGCCATGGAGCATTTGCCATGGCCACTAAAGGACGGCCTCTCCCTATGAGTGCTTGCTTTAAGTTCACACCAAGATGAGGAGCCAGCCACAGGCCTGCAAAACAGGAGGTTTGGGCCCTCTCCTGGCTTGTCCTGCCACTCCTCTCTGAGACAGTGCTGGTGGGATCTGAAGCCAGAGCTGAGGAGTGGGAGACAAGGACGGAGCGTGTATTGCCCATCTGCCAGGCTGGAGGTGTATTCATTATTGATGGAGGTAGTGCGTTGCTGTTCAGATATGCAGCCTGCCTGGGTAAATGAGACATTCTTCAGCAAATTGCTTCGTTTTCTGATTGCTGATTGTACGCGTGTCACCAAGCTGACTCAAGGTTCATCGATGCATGCTCAGTAAATTAGAAAGAACATAACTATGGATCAGCCAAGAGAATGAATTCTGTGCCTACAATGACCCAGGGCCATTTAATTTTCTGCTTAATTTTGTTGCAGTCAGTTTGCATTTTGGGTTATTATGCAGTAGGAAATTAACAATAAATAACAAATTTGGTCCTCCTGTGCTTGTAATGATATTTTTATAAATCTTTGTAATGCTGTTTTTTAAAGGATCAAGGTCTGTGCTAGTCTGATACCCCAGAAGTGTGTGAAGAGGAAAATGCATTATTCTTGCTAGATAGCCTTGTTGTTAAATAGCATCTCTCTCTCTCTCTCTCTCTCTCTCTCTCTCTCTCTCTCTCTCTCTCTCTCTCTCTCTCTCTCTCTCTCTCTCTCTGCAGTTTTGCTTTAAACTAAATGCATTCCTCTCTTCTCTTTCTCAGATAATCTGAAGACAATGGACACTGATGAGGGTCAAGACATGTCCCAAGTTTCAGGTGAGACCTTGGTGATAGATGTGTGTTCAGGGGTTGTGTTGGCTGTGCTCAGGGGCGCTAGCAAGGCTGCCCTAAAGGAAAAAACCCAGATGGCATGTGTGTCTTTGTTAACTTCAACTTTCAAAGCATCACAATCTGAGAGCCTAAATATAAAACCTCCCCAGTGAAATTAGTTATAGTGTTAACTCTCGAAGAGGATTAAATAAATACTGTACTTCTGGAGAAAATTATGATGGATTCGTCTACCAAACAGCTAAAACACATGCCAAAGGTGGCATTTACAAGATAAAAGGTGGGAGAGGAAGAGGAGGAGGGGCAGTAGCATGGAAAGGAAGCATAGCTAACAGTAGGGCCCAGTTCAGAGTCTTAGCACTTGCCAAGTGAGGAAGGCAGGAACTTGGCTGCCTAGGTCTTCTCATCTTCTGAGACCTAGGAAATGGGATATTATGACGAGGAGAAAGTTAGGTCCATTCCCAGGCTATCCAGTGGGGTAGCACTGAGGATGGCCATCCAGCAGATCCTCCCTGTTCCTGTATGGTGAGTGTATGAGGTCCATTCCTGCCTGGCCCTGTATCGGGACAGTACCTGGAAGCAGGCTTCCTGGACTTGGAGGTTTATTCCGTAGTTCTGTCTCAGAGCCTCCAGGCAATTCCCCAGTCTCAGAAGCCTGGCCTCTGTGTGTCATGGTCAGTCTGCCATCTGAATCTTGGCTGAGCTGCCCCCTCAGGTAGAGAACCTGCAGGTCCTGAGTCCCACCCTTTACAAAGTGGCATCACATTTAAGCACATGCTCACTGTTACATTGTCATTAATACTTAAAGTCTGTGGCACATGCACAAACCTGTACCCTTAGCTCTTAAAATCGAGGAGAATATGAATATGCAGTTATGGAAAGAAATCTGAAATGTACATGAAAATGGAGAAGATGCAAAGTATGGTTCCATATGGGAAAAGAAAATAAATCACACACACACACACACATATTCTACATGCTTGCATGGTTCTGAAGTGTATATATTAACCTGGACTTTTCCCCCAGAGGCTATGTGTTAAAAGGAAGATTGGCGTGGGGGTGGGGGAGGAAGAAGACATTGCTGGTGTCTTGTAGTTTTCAGAGTTATTTAACTTTATTTTCATTTATGCTTCTTAAGCAAAACAGTTAAGTGAGAAAAATGTTGTTTAGCTTGTTGCAGCCTTGTACTTAGCTTCCCTACCCATTCCCGAAGCCCAGGAAAACAGTGTGTGTTACACATAATTAAAGGAGGAGGATGGGCTCTGCTGGTGGAAGACCTCACCCCCTGGACTGACCCCTTACAGCTGGGTTGCTTTGAATGTCACAAAAACAGGGATGCTGAGAAACTCCAAGGGCAAGAAGAGCCCCTTTTGTTGGTTCTGCTCTGCTTTTCTTTGCTGCTTTGACCTCAGATGACTTCTGAGTTTGTATTTTATAAAAAGCACTCAGGGAGAGTGATCCACATGGCACCTACATTCTGACGTCCTACTGTCAAAACGGTGGGCTAGAGGTTAAATCAAGCCAAATATCCATCAGTGGATAAATAGATAAAGTGTGATAATGTGTATATAATGGAACCCTGTTTAGTTATAAAGGTTGGAATCCTGTCACTTAGGACAACACGGATAGACCAGGAGAGCATCAAGTTAAGTGAAACTGTCTGGGCACTAAACCTCAGTGGCATGCACACACATGTGCACGCGTGTCTGTGTGTACTCACAAGAGAAGTGTAATAAAAAGAATAAGTGGGTAAGGTAAGAGCTTGAGCTGATTCCTAAAAGGTGAACAAAAACAAAGTGAAGAGGAGCAATAATTTCAGACAGTGTTTCACAGAAAATACAGTGATTGACATGACCGCAGCACGTTTGTAATAACAAAAACTAACACACCACAAAGGAAACCAATTCCCTGGGCTAAGGCGCTATGCCTTTCTTTGTATAGGGGTTCAGCCCGGGTTATAGTTACATTGTCTATACTTACTTATGTGGTCGTGCCCACATTTTACCCCATAAAAGACATGGTGTCGCTCGCTTCTGCCAGAGTCAGGGAGGTAGAGGGGTGTAGGAAGAGAGGCTGCTCGGTGGATGTAAAGCCATGGCTAGATGGAGGAATAAACCCCAGTGTGCTTTTGCAGTGTTGTGACTGTATCTACGACGACGTGGGTGCCTCCAAGACAGGATTCTGAATTTGCTGCCTCTGACGGAGAGTCTGGCATGGCGCCTGTGACGCCCTCGTGTAGATACTTAAGTGCTATGTACTGCGTTCATGACTGAAATCTCAAACACCACTCTGTGCCACCTAAACATGAGCAATTATTGGGTATCGATAGGAAATTAAAGCAATAAGGACAGAAATATACCTTAGCCTTGAAAACCACCCCTAAAATGTTTACCAGGAGGAGTAGTCAGGATTCTCATTTTTCCATTTTGATCCTGAGGCTCCCAATGCCTTATTTTCTTGAACTGCCTTTTCTTGTCCTTAATGCTATGCCTAATACTTAGTGTATTGTTTGCTGCCCTAAAGGAGAGGGCACCTGGGGCAGGGATAACAAATGGCTTGAAAAAAAGAAAAGAAAACTCCTTCGTCTCCTTTTTGTTTGAAATTTTCTGTTTGCCCACAGCGAAGGAATGACTCTCTCTCCACCTTGATGGAGCTGCTGAGTTCCCCGTTCAGCCTGGAGCATCCCAAAGGATGACTGGAGCATCCGCATGGCAGACTGCCTCACATTCAGGAAGGGATTAGCACTCCTTTTATTCTTCTTTAAATCTGACACATTCCAAATTCAAACCAATATTTCTTTCTTTGTCTGCTAAGACTGGGAAGCTGGGTGATGAGATGCACATTTAGCTAACCAGGAGTTAACTTCTTTTCTTTTGTTTTTCTTGCAATCCTGGATGGAAGCCAGGATGTTGCTCCTGCTGGGCAGGCACGCTACCACCAAGCTGTATTCCCAGCCTGGGGGTTAACGTTCTTCATTAGAAACTGAGAAATGTGTTCCTGAGTCATCCCTTTTTTCATAAGATGTTCAAAGCTGTTTCATAGGATTCCCCCAAACGTGTGCAATACTTAAAAAGCAGGCCCAGCTAAACCTGTTTCCAAGCCCTTTGGATTTTCTTCCCTGGTATTTATCCTAGATGTGGACTCTGCCCCAGCTGATGCCACCTCTGGGCTGGGAATAATCCTAGAGGTTGACAGGCATTACAGACCAAGCTCACAGACTTGAGTCCTCTAATTGGGAAAAGTCCACTGACAGGAATAAACTCTAGGTTGCAGGTGTGTCCAGCCTTATTACACTGCCATCTACAGAGATCTCACATAGGGATCATGCAATAAAGTTACAAAATAATCACCAAGAACCAACCTCTCATGTTTTATTGTTTTGTTTTGGGGGGGTTGTTTTTGTTTTTTTTCGAGACAGAGTTTCTCTGTATTGTTTTGGAGGCTGTCCTGGAACTCGCGCTGTAGACCAGGCTGGCCTTGAACTCACAGAGATCCTCCTGCCTCTGCCTTCTGAGTGCTGGGATTAAAGGCTTGCGCCACCAACGTCTGGCTCCCCTCAATGTTTTAAGCATGTTTACAAACTGGGGCATGAAAGCTCTCCTGGCCTACAGTCCTCAGACTTTGAGTTGAACACCTGTGGACCTAAAGAGAGCTGTCTTTTCCTTTGGTGCGCTTCTCACTAACTTTTTGAGTGAAGCCGTTTTCCCATCTCTTCTCCTTTGGTCTTTTCAAATTACTCACGAGTATGGCTTTCTGTAGAGAGAGACAGCATAGGGGAAGAAGCTTGAAAGAGCTGAGAGGCCCCTCCATGCCTATTTGTTACTGCAGCTGTGGGAGCCAAGCCTGTGCTCTTGCCTCCTAAGCCATGGTGTGTCTCCTACAGCAGCAGGATCTCTGAGGGACCTCTGGCTCCCATCGCCTGAACTATGTATTTGTATTTTCTTAATGCTGTTTGTAATGTGTTTGCTGGAACATGCACACAAGGAGCACACCTTGTAGACATGCATAATCTGTGTAGGAAAAGGAGCCTCATGTATATTAAATATCAATGGAAGTATCCTACCCAGTTAATCCTAGTAAATCACACCGATTGAGCGCTGTGAATTACCCAATACTATCCTAAGCATTTTCTCCTTTCCACCTTGTAAGAGCCCACTGACAGAGGATGTAGTTGTCTCCAAATTGTAGGAACCTGAAACTCATTCCCTAAGAAATTGACAAGATGTTCCACAGGGAGCCAGAGAGTGTGAGCCAGCTTCAGCCGTTGGCTCCAAACGTCTTCCTCTTCTCTAGAGTGCTGGTTCTGTAGTGGGAGCCTCTACTTACCCCGGGTATTGTGTCCCCTTGGGTCCCTCAGTATGTTAAAGATACATGCCTTTGGGAGAGATTCCCGGAGCATTGCTGGGTAGTGGGGTAAGCTACAATCTGCTTGAGAAGTTATTTACCGTTAGTTTCAGATTAAGGGTACAGTTTCTTTAGTTTGGCCACAGAAATTTCTCAAGGACACACTTGACACACATAGGCAACAGGCAAATTTAAGTGTAAGTTGATATATTTATAGTTTAGCCAGAAATTTTGTTTTCTGAGTAAACGAAATTGTACCTGCCCCTTCGGAGTCATCCCATATGTCTTGTTAAATGCCTGCTGCCTTACCTTCTCCACCCCATTGCTTGTGCTGCAGGGTCATTATTAGTTTTATTTTCTCCATGACCCCCTAACTATACCCAAACCCTGAATTTTGGCCTCCTGCCGTACCCGAGGAAAGAGTTCTGAAGTGGTGGCCATCTCTCCTTCCCATCAGCTCTCCAGTTGCTTTATTTGGACCTGTAACCCAGATCCGCCAGTGCGGATACATCAGTGTTTTCATAATGGGGCTGTGTTGGCTTTCCCTAGCACTTCCTTTTTTAAAGAAATGTTTCAGATGATTAGTGGGACAAAAGCTAACATGCACCATGATGTTGCCTATCAGAAAGATTTTCATGAAATGATAAATTTCCCTCAGGAAGACCTTCCTGGAGTAAAAGAATGCAAAGACCCTAGAGCACAGAGCCCCCAGAGTGATGAATGTCTCTAGCATAACTCACACTGGGGGCTTTTAGGCAAATCAGCGCACCTCTTAAAAACCATCAGTGAGCCGAGGAGAGGCAGGGTTGACTTAATGCCATGCTCACGGCAGCCATGTGAGAACATCTGGCTGTGCTCCTCCCTGTTTGGCTTTGTACTCCGCGCCCCTATAAACACGGGGACTGGATGTTACTCTTCACCTCCCCGAGCGGTTTCTTCTGCTCTGAGAGTTCCTATCGATCAGTCCGACCCATGGTGCTTTAGAACCAGGATCCTGCTGCTTTCATTATACCTTGTCCTCCAACAAGCACTGAGACATGCGATGGGGAGTACTGTGGAGTTGGCCTCGGTGTAATAATTCGAGCCAGCTGTGATTCTGAAGAAACACAGCTGTTACTATGAATATCATCCTTAAGATGTAGTTGATATTGTTCTTTCAAAGACAGCTCAACCACGCTTGTAAAAATGGGTAACTAAGAGATGTTTTTTCTGCATGCAATTCAACATGAATCGGGCTGAAAGTGTGGCATGCTTTTATTGGCTAACCCCTGATCTCTCTCTCTCTCTCTCTCTCTCTCTCTCTCTCTCTCTCTCTCTCTCTCTCGCTCTCTCTCTCTGTCTCGCTCTCTCTCTCTGTCTCGCTCTCTCTCTCTGTCTCGCTCTCTCTCTCTCTCTCTCTCTCGCTCTCTCTCTCTCTCGCTCTCTCTCTCTCTCTCTCTCTCTCTCTCACACACACACACACACACACCAGCTCTAGTGTGATATGGCATCACCATGGCCCAGAAGTATCATGAGTGACACCAAAGTTATTACAGGAAAGATCATCAGGACAAAATAAGTCCGAACAATTCCATTGCTCATCTTAATAACTAACAGCCGGCTAATCGCAGGAGCCCAACGCTCATGCACTTTGTGTGCGCCGACTTAAGCAGCAGCTTCTTCAGCTGTGTGTGGCTTTGCTGCCAGGGCCCCAGGCAATCTGAGGAAGGTTCTTTTCATAATTGTTTCTTTTAGTTTTTTGAGGTTATAGTGTAGTTACATCATTTCCCTCTTCCCTTTCCTCTTTGAAGGTTCTTTATTGGCCTTTCAGAAGACACGTGGTATAGGACTCTGTTCATCCAGTATCGGCTCCCCACTGCAAGCTCTCTACATTTTACAGATGTGTTTAATGAGAATTTTGTGTGGTTATTATCTTAAAGTCCTCAGACTTTGAAAACCTTTATGCTGGGCTATGATTCTATGTGAAAGTAAGAGTTGTCAAGCAGTTCATATGCCTTCTGCATCCTCCTGGTTAGAGCTTTTCCTCCTTTATTGCAAAGATGAGAATCAATGCCAACGTCCAGCTACTGTTACTTTAAAGGTCTTCTATTTAGGGTGATGGAGACAGTGCTGACTAATGCACCCAGACTCTAGCATGACATGAACACTTTCAATCAGTCTCTTGGGCCTTTTGCTTTTCTTTGGGAAATTATTATACTCTTACCCCATCTTTAACTATTTATCTTGTATCAGCTATCCAAATATACCCAATAATGCTCTTTCTGAAAATATGCCAGTTGCTCTAATCACAGCGAACCCTGGAATATTACATTGTGATGTCTCTTTCTTAGAGAATGGACCACTATCCCCCAAAGCATGTCCTTGGTGCCTGCACAGTTTCTATTTTAAAGATTCCAGTAACGCTTGTCTCGTGTTCTGAGACCTTTCCACTGCTCTTGCCCATCTCCTAAAATGTTGGTGCGATTCTTGCGTGTCGATCCAGTCTTCATGCCATGTCTGGTCATGTTCTCAGAAATTTTTACTGAATGACGTGTTGTTTGCATGTGCTCCCAAAAGTCCGGGTTAATGTTTGTAGAGAGGTCATTTTGCCTGTTGGGCCAAGTTGCCAGCTCGGCAGGCACACATCTGTCATATTGGTAGCCTACCTTCAGGTTCTTAATCAAGACTGTGTTTTGTAAGTAGCCACAGTGAGTCAGCTAGCCTATGCTTAGGGCCTCAGCAGCTATGCCTCCTATGTGACTTGTGGCTTCTAACCACTTTAAATAAGCTTCAGAAAAGTGAAGCTTTTGGAATTCCAGCCTTGGTGAGAAAAGAGTGTCTTATATGAATGACAGCTTCACAATGCTGATCTTAGTTTCCCCAAACTGAAAGGAACTAGACAAACTTCATTTTAATCCAGCAAAGGGTTGCTGGGGAGAAGGGAGTCCGTGGGGTTAAGAGAAGGATGAGAGGGCATGAAAATGACCAGTTTGCTGTGTATACATGTATGGGACTGTCAAATAATAGCAAAGAAGAAAAGAATGGAAGGAAAGGAAGGGAAGGGGAGGGAGGAAAGAGGAAAGCCCTACTTCATGAAGTGTAACGAAGTTTGTCTTCCTGTGGATTGTGAGTTTGTCAAAGCATGTGAAGAGCCTCAGAAATACCGGCGCCATTGGTCCAGCAGTGACACTTCCAAAAAGTGTATGACAGTGTCTTTAAGAACATGTCTGGCTGGGCACTGGTGGCACACACCTTTAATCCCAGCACTCAGGAGGCAGAGGCAGGAGGATCTCTGTGAGTTCGAGGCCAGCCTGGTCTACAGAGTGAGTTCCAGGACAGCCTCCAAAGCCACAGAGAAACCCTGTCTCAAAAACCAAACAATAGGATATGTCCAAAAATTGACTGGTAGGATGTTCAGCTCAGTATTGTTTAAAAGTATAAAAAAAACCAAAAAAACAATACAGAGTCAAAAGGAGCAAAAGAATGAAATCCCTCATGTGTCCCTTATAAATAAAATTGTAGAAATAGGTCTGTGGCAGCAAAATATACTGAAAATATCTAAACGCTAATTTTCTTTATAAAAACAACATCACCACATATTCCCTATAATAGAACAATATTTATGTAGTAATTTAGTGCCAGGAGTAGCTAAAATTACTGGTGTTGTTTTCCTGTTGTAAATCCTTGCTCTCTGCTGTTTGTTTATTGCATGGCAGTGATATTCGTTCCTAGAAAGAGAAACACATATCGGTCCTAACAGGGAAATAGAAATTCAGAACATATACTCTTCAGGCTACCCTCTCACGCCCTCAAGGTGAAGCCCGGGCCCTAAGGTTTCCCCAGCAGCTGAAAATGACCGCCCGAAACTCAAGCTCTGATTTGTGTCTGCAGGGAAGGAGAGCCCCCCAGTCAGTGACACCCCAGATGAAGGGGATGAGCCCATGCCTGTCCCTGAAGACCTCTCTACCACCTCTGGAGCACAGCAGAACTCCAAGAGTGAGCGAGGCATGGGTAAGTGTGCTGCCATGGTGTCCTTCAGGCCACAACACACACGCAGTTAGGAAGTGGCTGCCATGTAGGGTGAGGTGGGTGTGATCAGCCCCTCTTGTCCTCTGAGGTCAGTCACTTGCATGTCTCAGGGTTTCCTGACACTGGGACTTCTGCAGTTTGTTTTAACCTGTGTGTTTATTTTTAAGGTAGTGTTCTGCTTATTGCAAGTGGTCTTGGTGTGACTGTGTCTGAACTCCTAGCATGGGTATCTTTTGAAACACATTGACGTGTCTGAACTCCTAGCATGGGTATCTTTTGAAACACATTGACATAAATTTAAAGATCAGTTTAAGTCAAGGGATTCAGCCACTGTTGGAGCATAGAGATCCCCTTTGTTTAGTCCCAGAAGCACCCTGGTGACAGGGGTTTGTCTTACAAGGTAACCTGGGCATAAACAGATGATCACAGCCTGCCTGTGGTTCCCAGAACAAAACAAAAGGCTCCTTCTGGGAAACACGAGATACTGTCCTTTGACCAAGCTACACAGGGAGAGCCCGACTAGAGAGTCAGGCTTGGTTCTCATGGAAAAAGAGGTGGGTCTCGCAGAATCATCAGGCTGTAGGCATGCTTTAGGCTGGTTCCTGGAGATCCAGGAAGACAGGAACACTTGCTTGCCATAGGTGAATAGTCACCAGTGCCAGCAAAATGCTGTAGGTACCTTGTCCCCTTGGCCGTGTGTGAGCAGGGGTCAGCCTTGGCTGGCACTACTGCCTGGCTCCTTGCACCCCTAGTGATGTTCACAGTCCCAGGTGCTCTCGGTGTGGGGATTCCTTTGGACTTGTCATTTCCAGGGCTCCCTCTCCCTAGCTGTCACTGTGTACAGTTTCCGATTCAATTTCCTTTCAGGGTGAAGTTTAGAAAAATAGTTATTTCAAATTTGAGAAATCCCGCAAAGGTAAGCCTTTCTGCCTGGCTTGGCAATAGCAGTTGGCTAGGCCCTGAAGACAGGGGCTATTTGAAGTGGGTCCCACGAGGAGAGCGAAGGCGTTTGTGGGCAGCTAGAGGCCAAAGAGTCACTTAGCAGGAGAGCTGAAAGAGAAAAGCCCAGGGGACAGATAGGATGTGGGAAAGGGGTCAGAGGATCCACCCTGGAAACACCCCCAGCCACATTACATGCTGGTCACCTTGCTCTGCGTGACCCTGGGAGGAACCACCTGTCCCACATGTAAGCTACAGGCTGTGAGTTTCATAACTTGTGGAATACAACGCTAAAGAGAGGACTGTGGAGGTAACATATAGGGAAATCCACAGACTAAGGGAAGTAGAGTTGAAGCCATACCTCGCCACACTGTCTCATGGCGTGGCTCATGAGAACCAAGGAGTGAAAAGGGACAGGGGCCAGGAGCCAGAAGAGTCCAGGGCAGGAGCGAAGGGTAGCGAGGGGCAGCGAGGAAGAGCCCCTGAGGAGACGGAGTCAGTGAGAGGGATGTGGCCGGCAGGAAGGCGAGTCTCAGGAGGGATACGTCCAAGGTTCCTGGTCCCTTGGTCATGACCCTCGGGGCCAGAGCTTCTCATCTTTCCCAAGCGAGCAAGGGCAGCTACCACATGCTCCGGGATGGCTTTGTGGACCAGGCAGCAGAAGCAGAAGACAGAATGGCAGACAAAAAGTAGGACAGCCCATGTTGGGCAGTCCAAGATTTACAGTCCTGGATGAAGGGGCCCGGTGGAGCTTCAGAAGGGGCGGGGGGAGCAGGGCATCAGGAAGAGACAACCAATTTATTAATTTTAAAAAGCCGTATTTCAGACAGCGGTGGTGCATGCCTTTAATCCAAGCTCTCAGGAGGCAGAAGCAGTTGAATCTCTGAGTTTGAGGCCAGCCTGGTCTACAAAGTGAGTTCCAGGACAGCCAGGAATACACAGAGAAACCCTGTCTGGGGAAGGGGGACAAGGAACCCATAAAATAAGCAAAGTGAAAACAGCCAGAAAAAGAGAAATGTGTTAGAGTAGGGCAGTGCCAAGGCAGGAGGCTGACTTCAAGTCCGGGTGTGGGCCGTCAGAGTGGACAGTCCAGGGAGGCGTGGTCAGAGCTGGCCAGCAGTGAGGGTGCTGGAGGCAGGGTCACTCAGTAGGAGAGAGTCAGGCCTGCTGTTGACAGCTGTGAGCCATTCCAGAAGAGCGTTAGCACCAGACAGCAGACCAAGCAAGAAAATCAGCAGTAGGAGATGGTGGAAACCAACCCCCATCTGGTTAGCGGGGCATTCCCAGGACTTGAAAGTTAGGGTTTCACACACTGCTGCTTTTTCTAACAATGCTGAAAGGGCACCCTAGATCTATGTCTAAATACTGGGACAATGACAGCCAGGCTCGAAGCAAGACACGCTCCAGTATTGCTCCATTTTCTTCAAAGTCTGAGTAAGAAGGAGCAAAAGATTTGAAGTACAGCTTGAAGAATTTAAGTCAGACCCAAAGGAGAACTTTCTGGCAAGCGGGGATTTAGTCCTCAGAATGGTCTACTTAATGACTCTGTGGCTTGTTCTTTCTGAAGTGGCCTCTCTAAAACTGAGAGAACTCTCGGCTCTCTGAAGTGGTTGTGTCTGAAGCCAGATGAAACTGAGGAGGCACTCGCTGACCTCTTCAGGCAACCGAGTTTACCAAGGGCAGGGCCGATTGCATTGACACAGAGCTCTGGGACCCCATGAAGGCCTTCCTGTGGGACGGTGTCCAAGCTGATGTCTAGAGAGAGATGGATGACTTGTAAAAGAAAACTAACTAACCACTTGGTACTCCCTTCCTTTGCTCAGTAGTAATACTTCTCCCTTCTTTCTGGGGAGTTCTCTCCTGGCTTGGGTGTGCTCTTGCCCCTTGTGACCTAGAAGGGCCCAGAGCTGTGTCACCCTTCCTGCCTGGTAAGCTGAGGACTGTGGCCAGACACTGAGGATCCCGAGTGCCACTCAGGGTTGAATGCAGCCACAGGGCAGCCTGAGCAGAGGGAGAAGTCAACCTGAGTGGGGGCTTCAGGGGATGTTTGGCCCTGGCATTGAGACGACCTTGTGTGGAACTCAGACAGGAGGAAAGGGGAGAAGCTCTGAGAGGGTGCATGCTGGGCTGCGCGCCTCCCTTGGGTGCGTCTCAGCCTGATAGTCCTCTGCCGGCGCTGAGAGGGGCTGACCCTGCCTGCACAGCGTCGTTGTCACTGAGCACTTGTGCCAGAGTCTGGCTCTCCCTTAGCTTAGATGGGAGAGGAACAAGTAAAGTCTGCCTTTGCCATTCCGCTAGGAATCCTGGGAGAAGGAATGAAGTGTATGAGAATCTTGATCTTGGTTTTTCTTTTTGGCTTGCTTTGTTTGTTGGTTTTTTCTTCTCGGTTCATTGCATTGACTCAGCCATGAGGGCAAGGCTGAAGGAGAAACCGTACGCAATCATTGCAAGTTTTCGTTGCTTATCGTAGTCGAGGTGGTAGTGTGTTACACAGGGGCATTTATAATATACTGTCATGTATTCTGTAACTGATAGTCCTGATGCCAGGGTTCTCTCCTGCGGAGGGGCAGCATTTAACTTGGGCTTTATTCCGCATGCAAACTCTGGGTTTCACTGTGGCATTTCCAAGCATACTGCAGCTCCAGGCTTGTTCACCCTGTCGCTGCCGTCCTTGCCTTTCTCCTGTCTCCGTGGTCAGCTTTAGGCAGGGCAGAGTGGTCCTCGGGGTGGGCGGCAGCTGTGAGGATTCTCTTAGGCCTAGGATGGGGAAGTGGGGCTGGAGGGAGTTTTCAGGTCTAGAAGAGAGACAGCAGGCCTAGCTGGAGATTGGGCAGCTGGCTTCAAGTACGGATGTTAGCCCGTTATCTAATCAGCAGCTAGAGGAAGTTGTCTTTATCAGTGAAATGCATCTCTTCTGCAGCGACAGCTCTCCTCTCTGAGGATGGCTGGAGTCGGGGCTGCCTTTGGTGCACTTGGCTTTCTCTTTCTCCCTTCCTTACCCCCCTTCAGAAATGAATGATCTGTGCTGTGGTTTCCATGGGGCAGATCTGTCAAATCCTGTTCATAATATCATTTCCCATCGCTGCCTTGGAATGCTTGCAGAAGTCGCTGGCATGCCCCCGCCACCTCCCCCCCAACCCGCGTAGGCCTTGCCCAACCAGCCGAGAAGTAGCCCTTTCTCGTGAATCTCTCAAAACATGAGCTACTAAGCAGTACTCTAAAAGTTATTTCGCCACCTTCTTTCTTATTCCATGTTGGCCCAAGAGGCTGATGGGTGGCTGCAGCCACCTCCAGCAGTGGAACGAGAATTGCAGACTGTCAACCAAGACTTTTGCCTTCTGCATCTCCCTTAATCTGCCAGCCAGTGGGAGTCACCGTGACCATCACTGACAGCTGCTTATGCCTGAACTTTGGAGTGGCCCTGTGTGACACCCGCCATCTTGGGTTGGACTAGGTTATACAAGGCAAACCAAGCAGCAGGAATTTAAGGCCATCCCTTGGAGGAAATGCAAATTGATATGTGTTTGCCAACACCTGTGTGTGCATGCTTGCTTCTGTGTACGTGGAGATTGGGTGTTGCGTGTGTGATGGATGGATGGATGCATGCTTGTTTACATGTGTAGTAGATATGTGTGTGCTTGTTTATGTGTTCCTGCGTGTGGCATGTGCATATATATGTACGTATGCACATGTATGGTATATGTGAATATAGATATGTGACATTTTATACATGTGTATTTGTGGGTGATACATAAACATGTATGGTGTGTGTGTAGTATGTATGTGTGAGATGTGTGAGGAATATGTATGTGTATGTGTGTGTGCTGTGTGTATATATATATGGTATGTTTACATGTATGCATATGTTATAGTGCATGTATATATGTGATGTGTGGTATATATGTATATCTGTGTGATATGTGTGTGGCATACGAGTGTGTACATGGTATGTATATGATATTGTATTTATACACAGTATGTGTGTGATGTGTATACAGTACATATTTGAGGTTTGTATAGGCTCATGTGTATTTGTATCATGT